CAATACAACTTATCTGAGATGCAGTGAAAGAACAGACGGTTTGGGCCAAACTTCCAAGATACGGATCGGTCATTTCCTTCCCGCACCAGTGACTCCTGGCTCTACAAATATTGACTGAACGCCTACGATGTGCAAAGTCAGGAGGTTAGGCCACTCGCATGCACACGAATATGGAGCAGTCCCTGCAACTGCGCGGATTCATGATGCACGACTGAATTTAAAAAGCAGATTGTGCGGCACCTCCATGGAGCCCTCGCTGAAGCAACTGACACTTGATTTGAGCTGAGGCCGTGATCTTGGGGTCGTGAGATCAAGCCCCGAGTGGGGCTCTGCATACAGCAGGGAGTCTGCTGGAGATTCTCTCTCCCCATGCCGCTCCACCTGCTGGCCCTCTCTCTCTCTCAAATAAATAAATAAATCTTTAAAAAATAAATAAAAAAATAAAAAGCAGATGATAATGAAAACACACACACATATTCCTGCTTTTTAAATTTTAACTTTTCTATGTATTTCCATGCATGTACAAATATATGCACATTTGCAGAAGCTCTAGAGTAATATGTATACAGGTAAGCACGGATGAAGATGCCGCAGCAGCAATGTTGGTCATAGTTAAACATGGTTAGGTTCATGGCTGGTTAGCTGGCCATAAGTAGTTAGTTAAACATATGCATGTTAATAAAGGCTAGCTAGCACTGTAAGGCACTCAGCAGCAGGGCAGACCACCCAGAGCCGCTTGCTGTTTGACTGCACACACAGTAAAACTGTTCACCACCAACACCTGTGGGCAAGCAAGACCTGAGAGCATGCACGCACCTGGAAGACCACCCCAGCCAAGAGCATCAGGGTGTGGGCGGTGGCTAAACACCCCAGACCCGCCTCCCTCAAGTGGGGTGAGTCCATGGTGTGTCCTGTCTCCAGGAGTCCCCCCAAAACAGAGGAGCCCCACTGCCCACAGTGGACACAGCCAGATGGCATGCCTTGCACTGACTTTGTACCTTCGCTGTCTGGCTTCCCCATCACCCTCCCAAAGTTTCCTGGCATCGCCTTGCAACTAAGCCACTTCGACTTGAATCCCTATGTCAGGTTTGCTCTGGAAGGACCAAGCCAAGACATTATGGTATAGGGATACCATTGGATAATATGCAGAAATCTTTAAAGAATGAGGTAGTGTGCTGATAATATACTAATATGGAAAGATCTCTGAGAAATATTCTAAAAACAGAAAAATACTAATCTGGGGTGCCTGGGTGGCTCAGTCATTAAGTGTCTGCCTTCAGCTCAGGTCATGGTCTCAGGGTCCTGGGATCGAGCCCGCATCGGGCTCCCTGCTCGGC